TTTTTGATTTTATTTATTATTAATTTCATATAACTGAATTTAAAATAATATTTTATCAAGATGGAGAAAAAAGAAAAAAGTGTCATCAGTCAAGGTGAAGAAAAAATTATTTTTTACAAGAGGGGGTGAAAGGGAGAGGGGGCAAACCCCTTTTCATCCCCTCCCGCTTCAAATAATTTTAAAAAAAAAAAAAACGGAAAAGTGACAATAATCGATCGTGTAAATATCAATTATAAGCGAGTTAAGAAAACGAAAAAAAAAAAAACGTGGAAGGAGAAAAAAAAAGCGGATGCCACGTTAAATTCGGAAAATGATTAAAAAAAAAAAAAGAGAGAGAGAAGAATTATTCGAATTAAAAATCGTCTTTCTTTTTTTTCTTCGTAAATGGGAATTAATTTTCTTGTGTTCATTCATTCGTTCAATCACTATTCATTCATTCATTCATTCATTCATTTATTCAATAGCTTTAAATCCCATTTTGAAATGTTTGAATAATATTTTAATAATTTAAACTCGAGTTTTAAAAAAGTATTAAAAAAAATGGTCGTTAATTAAGTAAGAAAAAAAGAAAGAAAGAAACAAAAAAAAAAAAATTGTATTTATTTATTTATTTATTTGTTTGTTTGTTTGTTTGTTTGTTTGTTACAGGGTGAATTAGATTACGAACTTCAAAACAACGATAACGTTTTATTTATATCAACCCTTCACGGCGGATGAAGATTTTTTTTTTTTTTTTTACAAAAAGGGTTGCAAAAAAAAAATTTTTCAATTGTAAAGAAGAATCTCGTCACGAATGAAAAATATTTTTTGAAAAAAAAAAAAAAAAAAAAAGTGGGGGGGGGGCAGAGGATGTAATTTTCAATATAACAAAGTACACGCACGAATAATAAAAAAAAAAAAAAATTATTTTTATTTTATACTGGAAACGTGTGGAAATCCTGGAAAAAAAAGTTCCGCCGATCATACGCCGAATCGATTATCGAATTTTTTTTATGAAATGTAACAATGATTATTACCGAAAATAAAAAAAAAAAAAAAGAAAAAAAAGAATTTATTTGTTTTTTTAAATTTTAACCGAAAATGAAAAAAAAAAAGAAAATTTTTCTATTTTCTTACCCCCCCTTCCTGCTCCCTCATTTTCTCCAGATCTTCGTAGAGCATAACAAAAGTGAGAAGAAAAATTAATTAATCATTTTTTTTTCCTGTCGATTAATGTGAAGAATATTGGAAATGTAAAATTACAAGAATGGGTTATTATTTTGATGGCGACGGTGGTGGTGGTGGTGGTGGTGGTTGGTGAGAGGGAAAAGAAGAAAAAGAAGAGAGAGAGAGACATGGACGGTGAGTAAGTAACATCACGAACGTTTTCTTTTTTTTCCTCTCAACTCAAACATTTCCCTAATGCATAAGCTTATTTGGATAATTTTAATCCAAAGCTTTTTATTATCGTAAAAACAATCCGTGGATTTTACGCTTTATTATTATTGTTATTATTATCATTATCATTATTATCATTATTATTTTCTTTGAATAATTCACGTTTTTTTTTTTTATAACAAATTAATTTTTTTTTTTTTTTTGACGAGTCATCCGATGGAGAAAAAAAGAAAGAAAAGAAAACAAAAAAAGGTAAAAATTTAATGTTGGAAAGGTTGAATGTGGGGTAGAAGGCACGAAGGGGGAGAACCTTTCACCTTTTTTTATTATGTTTTGATAATTAGAAATTATTATGTAAGTGGTAAGTCCCTTCTTCTCGTACAAAAAAAAAAAAAAACAAAGAAAGGAAATTAATGATGCAATTTTTTCATCCCTTCGTAGTCGTGGAAGTAGAATTAAAAAGGAAAAAAAAA